AGAGTGAAGGAGAAATTATTGCTTTTACAGCCTTTACGGGTGTAAAGAAAGAAAAAAAAAATCTTCATCACTCCCCACAAGTAGTACAGTGTCACCATAGTAGTGACACTGTACTGCTAGGGTAACAGTATGTTAAAAAAAAAATAATAAAATAAACAATTTAAAAAAAATAAAAATGTAAAAAAATGTTTAAAAATTATAATTTTTGATTATAAACTAATTTGGCTTATTTTTTTTTTTGTTTTACTAAAAAGATAACGGAATACATTCTGGCCAAGATTTATGATGAAATATAATTTATTTGCAAAATTTTATAAGAAAAACATTTTTTTTCAAAATTTTTGGACATTTTCATTCACATAGCAAAAAAAATTTAAATCCCAGCGGTGAATAAATACCACCAAAATAAAGTTTTGTCTGTCTCAAAAAATGGTAAAAAAATTCATATGGGTACAGTGTTCCATGACCGCGCAATTGTCATTCAAAGTGTGATAGCGCTGAAAGCTGAAAATTGCCCTGGACAGGAACGGGGTAAAAGTGTCCGGACAGGAGGTGGTTAACTACTTGCCCTCCTGAGGATTTACCCCCCTTCCTGACCAGGCCATTTTTTGTGTTACAGCGCTTCGGTACTTTAACTGACAATTGCGTGGTCATGCAACGCTACACCCAAATGAAATTTACCTCCTTTTTTTCCCCACAAATAGAGCTTTCTTTCAGTGGTATTTGGTTGCCTGTGCGATTTTTATTTTTTGCACTATTAAAAAAAATATCAACGGCAATTTTGAGAACAAAACAATATTTTAAGCTTTTTGCTATTAAACATGTCCAGTAAAACAATTTTAAAAATCATAAATTTAGGCCAAAATGTATTCTGCTGCATGTCTTTGCTAAAAAAAATTCCCAATACTTGTAAATTAATTGGGTTACGTAAAAGTTATAGAGTTTACAAATGGCGGTACATATATTTTAAAAATTTTTATTTTTACTAGTAATGGCAGCGATTTGTGTAACTAAAAGGCAGGCTTGTTCCACCCGCTGGCTTGTATACAAGGTTTGTATACAAACCTCAAGGCACCCTGGCAGAGAAAGGCTGGTCTAGGTGGTTGGAGCAGAAGTGGGAGAAGGTACCTGTTAAAACTAGGTACCCACTTCCCGAAAAATAAAACAAACCTCCAAAAGTCGAAGAGGAGAGGGAAGGAGGTATTTAGGTGGAACGTCCCCTTTAGGGTGAAGTTCTGCTTTAAAATCTTTTGCAGTTATTGTAGGGACCACAGCCTCCTAGTTCCACAGAAGGGAGGGCTGCCCTTTTTTTGACCACACATGTGCACTGTGTATTCTCTCCTGTTGTAGACCCAAAATGTGAGATCCAAACAACCCAGGAATGGCTCTCTCATCTGTGGCACTAGGGAGCTCTGGTTTCAGTAGTTGCTACACCCTTAAAAAAATTTGGGACGGAGCCATTGCTGGCTGCAGAGAATTTCAAGAAGCTTTTTCTAAATGTGGATGTAGATTCATTGTTTAAACAGAAAGGAAGCCTTCGCTGGTAGGCAGGGCCAGTGCTGGACTATTTTTCTCTAGCTGGGCGTATTGTTACTATACGGCACAGTAGTGACATAGCAGCAAGCAGGAGGAACTACAGTGGCTAGCGGGAGACATGCATGGCAGCAAAAATGGTGTTTTATGTGTTCTACAGGGTCTCCTAGTTAAGTGTTCTTACATGGCAGACCACTTACTGTTATCTCACATATATATTCTTATTATTATAGCCAAATTTACCACCCTAACTCCTCCCACAGTTTTTACACTACATAGACAGTAATATACCGAAACGTGCGGATTGTTCCTGATTGGTGTGCTATTACTTCGTGGAACATTTCGCCGAATGGATTACAAAATATCGGCTTTTTTGTGGTGAAATTGGTCCCATAGGAATGAATGGCAGAATGATCAAAACTAGAGTGTGAGCTGAAAAATCAGGACATGATTTCTAAACTGCCATCGCTTCCTCATTTTCAAGCCCACCTACACAAATCTTATATCAAAACGTTCAGCTATCCCTACTGCCACTACAAATGTCCACGGCTAAGCCATAGTCCTGATAGTTTTCACAATATGACCATTTGTTTGCAACTCACACCGCCCATTGACATACATTGAAACTCCACTCTAGCCACCTCAAATTTGAAGGGCAATTTCTAAACTGCGACTGTGCCTTCATTTTTAATATTTCAGAGACATACTATGCATCAAAATGTAGGTCTGGGTCTTGTGATTCTCACAATATAAAGCTCTTTGGTGTAGGATTTATAATTTTTAAACTACAACCATTTGAAGATGGCAACTGCCAGTGAAGTGAGCAAGTTGGAGCAGTTTGTTTTTAACCGCTCTTCTCTGTCATTGCTGTAGAGTGAGTTGCCATAGGAACCCAGGTGTGTGTGAGCAGGCAGCAGAGTGACAAAAGCTAGAGTGTGTGAGTTGTAGACTACTGGTGGAGGCAAGAACACTTCACACAATTTCCCCAGAAATTGTAGCTTTTCTAGTTGCATTTTGTTATCCTAGTGACAGGATCACTTTAAGGTACACACTTCCCACTGGGGTACACATAGGCGATTTCAATTGTTCAAAAAAAGTACCTTGATTCAATGTAGAACTCCAGCCATGCAGACAGCATTAAATGTGGGTAATAATATAAAAACTTTTTTTTCTGTCTGTGACCCAGTTGGGGAGATTCCCCCTCCTACAGGGAAATGTTCAATTTCTTTGCCACTGAATCAAAATCCCCTACGTGGGGGCACAGATATCAATGAAAATATGTTAGTAGAGTGGGGATGGACTGACACTCCTGTCATGTCATTACCTTTGAGGTATATATTTATTAAAAATCAGTAATGTGAACCTGTGCCCAGACAATGCGCAATACAGTATTTACATATTCTTCACAGTCAGCATAGGCGATTTAAAACTAGCACTTATTCACCTCAGTAGTTATGGGCATTGTGGAAAAAATATATCCTCAAAAATGTACAACAGAGGCATTGAAATCTTAGCTCTTTTCTTATTTTATCCTACTTCACCAAAATCTTGGCACCCTGTCAGCAATCTAATGTAAACACACAGTAGGTGTTACTAAGCTGCTGTAAACGGAACGAACCCGGACTTTAGAATCTTTGTTGTGATAATTATTTATTTATTTCAGGTACTTATATAGCGCCGTCAATTTATGCAGCGCTTTACATATATATTATACATTCACATCAGTCCCTAACCCTCAAGGGGAGTACAATCTAAGGTCCCTAACCCACATTCATACATACACATACTAGGGACAATTTACACAAGATTCAATTAACCTACTAGCATGTCTTTGGAGGAAACCAGAGTACCCGGAGGAAACCCACGCAGGCACAGGGAGAACATGCAAACTCCAGGCAGGTGGTGCCGTGGTGGGAATTCAAACCAATGACCCTAGTACTGCCAGGCGGAAGTGCTAACCATTTAGCCACTGTGATCTTTGAGGAGATCACATTACATGCAGTTAGGGAAGTCAGTGAGGGCTTTTTTTTTGAAAGCTCTTTTAATGCTTCCTAATAATTTAAAAAGACTATTTTTGTATATCTGTACAGTCAAACTAAATTATTTCTAATAAAGTGTGACCTATCTTTGGCTACTGCAGAGTTTAATTCTCATACTTTTATTCAGCCCACAATTTCTTGTTGGTATTGAACGTCCTACAGTTAAGACTTATAGCTGTAGTACAGTTATCAGAAGAATACAAGGCATTCTATGAATTAAAGAAGTGTGGATGAATGTCACTATCTCCCCTCCTTCAATCACAAAACCACTTGCTGTGAAAATAATGCAAGGCTTTTTCTGAATGGAAGAGGTGCCAAGTGAATTATCAACTGTGATTGGTATACTTCAGATGGAACTATGTACAACTCTCAGGGTTGTACGAATTGCACTGACAGGAGACAGAGGCACTGACAGGAGACACTTCATTGGAGGTAACTTCTATTTTTGTACATTCTTCAACTTTAGGTGTATTTTTAAAAGCAACTAGTCTAAGTAATTGAATTTGATATCAGTCTCTATCAAACCCCCTGTACAGCAGCGATCATACTGGTCGTGAGAGAAGCGACAAAAGAGTTAATCACCTGTGATAAATTGCCCATTAGCTAACAATGAACATTCTGACAGGAAAAGAGAGAAAAGACTGAAAGAGATAAAAGCTCATCAATCTGCTGCTCCTTTAATATCTACTCACAAGTCGGGGAAAAAAAAAGAAGACATAGTTGTAGGACTTAAAATGATACTAAAGGTTCACTTTCACTGGTCTGTGTAATGGTTTTGCACAGAGCAGCCCCGATCCTCCTCTTCTCAGGTCCCCTGCCGGGGCTCCTCCCCCTAATGAGTGCCCCCAGAGCGAGCTGCTTGCTCTGGGGGCACTCAAGCGTGCTTGCTCCCGAGTCGCCTCTGTGTGTCCGTTAGCTCAGCCCTGCCTCCTCCTCAGTGGCCAATGGCTCCCGTTGCTGTGTCCCAGCCAATGAAGAGGAAGAGACCCAGGACAGCAGCTTCTCTCGTGCACAGCGCTGGATCATGATCAGGCTCAGGTAAGTATTGGGGGGGGGGGGGATGAGGGAGGGAGCTGCACACTGAAGGTTTCTTTACCTTCATGCAGTCTAAATGAGTGTCAACCTTTAGAACCACTTTAACTGTAGTTGAACTGCAGTCGAAAAAAGTCAGATCTCCAGACTGGCTGTACTGTCTGACAATGGGCTCTGAAGCATCAATGGACAGAAATACAAATTCCTTAGCAGGTAACATCTCCCAAAATATGTATTTTATCTGTGTATTTAGCTGGTTGCCTGGAGTTCAGCTTTAATTAAAGTCCCATGCAGACACAGACAGAAAAAAATTAAAAATTAGAAAGATCCCAAGCCTTCTAGATTGTATCAGGGTATTCACAATAATAAAGTATGTATAAATATGTCTTTCCCTACCTTCCAGCTCTTCGGGTCCTTTGTACCATTTAATGTTGGCTGCTGGTTTGCTGCCACTTGTTGTGCACCTCAGAACTGCATTTTCCTTTTCATTAAATGGTCTATCATATCCAGTTATCTTGGGTTCCTGGGGTACCCCTAGAAGTAAAAAGAATGATGTAAGCAAAGACACTGTGAAAAGGGCACAACAAGAGAAAACGTATCCAAAGAGAGCCAGATATTCTTAGACCATGTCAACTTTCATTGACTGAATTAAAAAAAAGAATAAGGATATATTATTTTACAGAAAATGAACTGCACTCAAATACATTATAATTAAAGTATATCAAAAGCAAAAACATTTTAATTGAGAAGGCCCAAGCTCTTTTGGCCCTACTTCTGTAGGTTGCAGGAGTACACTTTGTACCGCACTTCTTTGACCCCTATTCAGCCAACAGCAGGCTAAAGTCTGCTGTCACCTGACGTCACTAAGCTGGCCCAGGCTCTGGAGTGATCCCGACTTTAATGTGGGGATCCACCCAGACTGCCTGATCGGCAGCTGGCCTGAGAGCTGAAAGCCTGAGCCAGTTGCTCCCACTCCCTCCACAGCCTGACACTCCAGGAGGAGAAGAGCAGAGAGCTGGTGACTAACAGTCACAGCTCTCTGCAGACCGAATACTGAAAACTGAGCAACTTTTGATTACTTAGTTCTCGTAGAGGCGGCGGGGGACAGATGCAGTATCGGAGCAATGCTACTTCCACCTAGGTGAGTATGTTTGTTTATCTCAAACTTCTCTTTTTTTTTTTTTTTATAGACTAGGGAATGGTTAAAATTTTTCTTCTTCCCATTGGAAAGATTTCCGTTAACCTTCTGTTCTGTAGAGACAATAGGAATTGAGAGACAATCTCTGAAAAGTGAGGAGAAATGTCTCTTCAACAGCTGCCTCATTGGAAGATTCCTTTCACCTTCTGTTTTGAAGACAACCAGAATATTTTTCTTTTTTCTAACACGGTTTGTCAGAATAAAGTTGGACGCCAGTGCAAATAGAAAGGGTGAATTTCTCCAGCAGGATCAGCACCAGCAATGAAAATTCTGACCAAAGTCTAAAACAGTCAGTTTTTTTTTTCCCTACAAGAAATTCCAGTCGGGAAACCGGTGCAACAGTTGACCAACATGAACACCAGCTATATGTGGATTTCTCACAAGACTACTCGTTCTGCAAGTTGATAAAAGAGTAGTAATTTTGCACAAGTTAGTCAAATAATGTATAAGCTACACTAGAAACTAGACAACAGAGAGGTAGTTCCATGTGATCTGCAAAACCATCCATTATTCCCTGTTCTAAGAAGACAAGTACAAAGGTAGTCTGAAACGTTGGCGCGACATGGAAGGAGTGACCACACAGACTTTAAACTATCACTTCACCAAGCCACTCTTCCAGATTTTCAACGCTGAAAATGGCAAATGCATGCCATATGGTTTTCAGGCACTCTTTGCAAACAGTTGGTACCCACCGGAGTCAAGTTAAAAATGGAGAAAGTAGACGAAGGAGGCCGCAAAGTGCTCCATCAGCGTACAAAATGATGGCAACAGTCTTCTGCAAGGCTTCTACACACCCTCGGGATCCCAGAGGAGTCTTGCCATCCCTTTGTCCACTGATGGAAATTTCATGTTTGTGTGGTCACTCCTTCCGTGTTGGGCCATTAACTTTTCAGAACACCCAGGTAATGAACAATATTAAGATCAGGAATGCATGACTTTATCGTGTCGTCTGTAGCACCATTGAAAGGCCCAAGATTTCAGTGCAAGCCCTTGATGCTGGTGTTAGTCAATGTTTACTGATAATCCAGGATATTTCTGCCAGAAGAAAAGTGTTAAGCGCCTACCATTCAGACCATTCAGGTGTGTGTGTTGGCCTTGTTTTGAGGCCATCAATTTAAAACCTTTTTGATATCATTCAGAATATCTTGACAGGTACATTTTTCCTGCAGTTGACCTTCTTTTAACCTGCTTTAAACAGATTTTGCATCTCCATAGACTCGTATAGAAATGAAAAACTCATTTAATCCAAACACAAACTACTGACATGAGCCCTACTAAGGTTCCACAGGCCAAGACACAACGTAGAGGCCACAAGGGAAGATGAGAACCTTTTTTCTTGCTTACCTAAAGGGCCTTGCCTGTGAAGAATTACTTTTTTCCAGATACTATTAACAGCCCTGACTATCAAGGATCATTATTATAAAACTGTATCTTTATTGTTGAAATACGTTAATGCTTGTCACCTATTGGGCAGCAGTCCCAGACATACCTATAACTGTCACCATTGCTTTGGCTGTCCTGACAGGCATGGTGAAGATGGAGCAGGTGTACTCGCCCTCATCAGCTAACACCACATTGTTAATACTGATAGACAGCTCGTTTGGTGAGGACCGGACAAGCTGGATTCTGTTGTCTCTGAGAGCTGTGGAGAAAGAAGAAAAATCAGTTGTCAGAAAGATAGGACTAACACTACAGTTTCATATAAAAGACATTCCATTAAAAACAGATATAATGAAGCTTCTAAAAATACAAAAAAAAACACAGGGACATAAGGATTGACAAAACAGAGGGTACTACGGGATACCTATAGTAGAGGTAAACCCTATCAGAATGATATCTAGTTAGGTAAAGTGCCCTTGCAAAGTAATTGGCAAATTTGAAACATTGAAGCCGCTTCCTGTCTTCATGCATTTACATCAGTGATGTCTGCATTACATTTCTCAGTGCAGATTTCCTGATGCTGACAACAGTAGTGGACCATGCCAGTGTCCATTACTGTTTTGACGGCCACCATCGGAAACCAAAACAGGAAATACCTGAGCAAGGAACCTTATGGCGAGATTACAGGGTATTATGTGATTGCAACCTGCATATCTAAAATAATAAACAATACTTTTTAGCTTATAGGAGGTTTTAGTGAGTTGGTTTAAATAAACTCTAGACTTGAACTCAAAAAGTTAAGTTGTGCTATCTTATGTAACATCCTAAAAATGCTACTGATGCCTAAACAGTACCTTAAAAAATCCAATATTTGTTTTAAACTCCTCCTGAAAAAGTGCAGTGCCCCCTCTGTGCCTAGACACACCAGTGCCTTGAGCCTCTTAGCTGTATACCTGCAGTGTGAGATCATCTACAGCACTGTGCCTCAGGGAAGAAGCTGAGAAAGCAAATCCCTGCTTCTACCAAGACGGCAAACTCCACATATACTGTGCAAAAAGTACTGGTCAGGCAAGTGTAAGTCTGTAAAGATCAGCTGCAGGAAAGCCTGTAGACAAAACCCAAGACCAGCCATTTGTCCTCTACTTGCTTTTACTGGGCATACCACAGTTTAGGTTACCTTTTAAAACTCAATTCCAATCTAATCTTCATAATAGTATAGATGTCACACCACTTCCTCAAACTCAATCTTTCTAAAACTGAGCTTGTGATATTTCCTCCTCCCTGATCCCCCCCCATGACTTTGCCATTGAAATCAACAACACAATCATTAGTCCCTCCACACATACCAGGGTGCTACAGTGCACCCTTACCCCTGAAGCTATCCACATTTTGTGATGTTACAACCAAAAACGTAAATGAATTTTATTGAAATTTTATGTGATAGACCCACACAAAGTGGCACATACTTGTGAAGTGGAAGGAAAATGATAAATGGTTTTCAATTTTCTTTTACAAATAAATATCTAAAAAGTGTGGCGTGCATTTGTATTCAGCCCCATTTACTCTGATTCCCCTAACTAAAATCTAGTGGAACCAATTGCCTTCAGAAGTCACCTGCTTAGTAAATAGAGTCCACCTGTGTAATTTAATCTCAGTATAAATACAGCTGTTCTGTGAAGCCCTCAGAGGTTTTTTAGAGAACATTAGTTAACAAACAGCATCACGAGGCCAAGAAACACACCGGGCAGGTCAGGGATAAAGTTGTGGATAATTTTAAAGCAGGGCTAGGTTATAAAAAAATATCCCAAGCTTTGAACATCACACAGAGCACTGTTCAATCCATCATCCAAAAATGGAAAGAGTATGGCACAACTGCAAACCTACCAAGACATGGCCGTCCACCTAAGCTGACAGGCCAGGCAAGGAGAGTATTAATCAGGGAAGCAACAAAGAGGTCCAAGGTAACTCTGTAGGAGCTGCAGAGATCCACAGCTCAGGTGGGAGAATCTGTCCACAGGACAACTATTAGTCGTGCACTCCACAAATCTGGCTTTTATGGAAGAGTGGCAAGAAGAAAGCCATTGTTGAAAGAAAGCCATAAGAAGTCCCGTTTGCAGTTTACCAGAATCCATGTGGGGGACACAGCAAACATGTGGAAGAAGGTGCTCTGGTCAGATGAGACCAAATTGGACTTTTTGGCCTAAAAGCAAAATGCTATGTGTGGAGGAAATCTACCACTGGACATCACCCTGAACATACCATCCCCACCGTGTGGTGGCAGAATCATGTTGTGGGGATGCTTTTCTTCAGCAGGGACAGAGAAGCTAGCCAGAGTTGATGGGGAGATGGATGAAGCCAAATACAGGGCAAACTTAGAAGAAAACCTATTGGAGTCTGCAAAAGACTTGAGACATGGGTGGAGGTTCACCTTCCAGCAGGACAACAACCCTAAACATACATCTAAAGCTACAATGGAATGGGTTAGATCAAAGGATATTCATGTGTTACAATGGCCCAGTCAAAGTCTAGGTCTAAATCCAATTGAGAATATGTGGCAAGACTTGAAAATTGCTGTTCACAGACACTCTCCATCCAATCTGACAGAGCTTGCGCTATTTTGAAAAGAAGAATGGGCACAAATGTCACTCACTAAATGTGCAAAGCTGGTAGAGACATCCCCAAAAAGACTTGCAGCTGTAATTGTAGTGAAAGGTGGTTCTACAAAGTATTGACTCAGGGGAGCTGAATACACATGTACATAAACTTTTCAGATATTTATTTGTAAAAAAACTTTAACGCCATTTATAATTTTCCTTCCACTTCACAAGTGGAAGTGTGTTCCACTTTGTGTTGGTCTATCAAATCCCCTTTCTTTATAATGACACCACAAAACAACGTATTTGTTCCTTGGTTATATCCCACCTTGATTACTGCAACACTCGCCTCACTTGCCTACCTTTACAGAGAGTATCCCCCTTTAGTCTATTATGAATGCTGCTGCTAGACCTATGCACCTTACTAACTGATTTATAACTGCTGCCCCTCACTGCCAATCCCTTCACTGGCTTCCTCATGCAAAGCCATCCACAACACTGACCTCAACTGTATCATCAACCTCATCTGCAGATATTGCCCAAATCGTTCTCTCCGCTCCTCCCGGGACATCTTGCTCTCTAGCACACTTATCAACTCCCCCCATGCCTCCAGGACCTTTTCAGAACCTTTCCCAACCTCTGGAACTCCCTACCCCAGTATGTCTGGTTATTTCCTACCCTGTCTGCCTTTAGATGATCTTTGAAAACTCATTTATTCAAGGAAGCCTACTCTGCCTCCATCTAAAAAAACTGTAGTTGAGTCACCTCCATCAGATCATCAGCTATTACCTTTTGCACCACCTCCCCCTTCCTTTTAGATTGCAAGCTCCATGAGCAGGACCCTCCTATTCCTTCTGTATTAAATTGTATTGTATTTGTACTGTCCCCCTTTATATTGATCAGACCATGTGTGTTCCACCTCCTGGAAGACTATGCTGTTACTTGGGTTTATGTACAATGCTGGTTTAACCATTAGCTCTTGTATGTACTCAGTTTTAATTTTCAATAAAATCTTTATGGTAATGTATTAGGCCTTTGCACCCTTTTGTTTGTTTTGTTTATGGGATGTAAGTGAGTCCCGTCTCACAATGACATTTTAGTGGGGAAGGGGCTTCAGGACAATGTTCATGGGACAGTGTCAAAGTAAAACTAAAGGCAAAACTTCTTTTTTGGATGGAGTGGAGATGGATTAGAACCCCTGTCAGTTTGTATTGCCGTCTGTGCCACCATTAAGGAGATTCACCCTCCCTCTTTGTCCAGTTTACAATTACTGAAAGTGAAAGTAAAAGAAAAACCTAAATTTTGTGTTGTCCCCAGAAAAGTAATACAGGGGAAATCTTCCAATGGGGACATTAGTTCTGGTGACTTTGGGGGCCCAGAAGGGATTCCCTTAATGTGTAGGAATTTCCTCTCACTTCCTGTTTAGCAGGAAGTGAAGGGAAATCTTTGAATGAAACACAGATGGTGAAAAAAAATCTGGCACGGGTTATAACCCTCCCTTACTCTATCCAAAATGAATAACAAAAATTGCCTATAGTTCTACTTCAGCAACAAAAGAAACTACAGAACGGAGGGAAGTGGCAGGAGCTGGTGGTTAGAATCACACGTATGTAAGAAAGTCTGAAAAGTGTATGTACAGACATTTAAATTTAAAGCTGATCATAAAGATGCTCATTATGTAGCAGAATCAAAAACTATGTATAGAATAATGCACCTTCTACGGCCGTATTAATAAAACATAAAGTCACTAAGGAGTTCTATAGACATATAAAATAACAAGGTCTCAAGCTGAGCTCTGTTCTAGATGGAATTCCGAAGTGACTCATACTTCAAAGATGATTATATTCTATATATGAATTGTAGTTTTTCTTTTTTTTTTAGAGAGAGATGTGAAACTTTATTTTTATCCCTCTTTAAGAAACTGTTGCGTTTGTATGATTACATATCTGTGTACAGGTCAAGCCCATTGATAGAAATATGGTTATATAGATATCACATTTAGCTAAAATGTTCATGGTGAAACCCAAAGCCTGGGTTTGGTAGCATACACATATAAAGAACCCCTGACACCCCAGGCCAAGATGCCAATGTGCGCCACCCTAGGTTGAGATGTATGGGACTTGTACGTCCACCTGTAAAGTGGTCGGGCCACTACAGAGTACAGAAATAACAGCCATGGTCCATTGGCCTTAGGGTACCACCATTTCATGAAAGGACACCTATATAAGATGGGGAGAATGCTTCACTATGGTTAAACAAATGTGATTTAAGCTAGCCACACACTGCTCCATTTTTGTCAGATTCCTCAAAATTCAAAAAAGTGAATAGTTGGGGACTGCACTGGACTGATTGAGTTATATATGATAATTTTTTTCTTGATTCCACAGGTAAATAATGGTGTTTGCCTCCCTTTGGAGGTATGGGCTGCTAACTTACTGGCATGACTGCCGTGTGGCTTTAGTGACAGAGGTCTTTAGATGGAGAGTAAGGAGCGACCAGTGTCCAGAGTAATACCACATTTGATGGAAAGGTTACAATCTTTTATTTAAGATAATGGATTTACAAGCTGATCCAAGTGTTTCGAGGGAAGTGACACCCCTTTCTTCAGGGATTTAGGTACGTGTGAACGGAGGTGGGTAGACTTAGCATAGGTACCCGAGCTGATTGC